GAGGGGCGCCCCTCTTGGGACGCGCCCCCTGGTCCAGCGCCACCATGCGCTGCATGCCCACTTTTTGCGGAACTGTTTACGAACCACGCATGACAATAAAACTCTGCCAAGTCGGTAGTACGGGTTCCTCTCCCAATCGGCAGGTTGTTGGTTCGATCTCCGCTCCATCTCGTCTGTACCTGGGGATGCAGTTCCCATCTGCACCGTCACTGCAGATGGGGGGTCAAGAAGTAAATGCAGCCCGTTCACCCTTTGAGACAGCTTCAAAATGCCAAAAGTCTGTGATGTGTTGGTGGTTCTAGAGACAGAGATTAATGTTACTTTCATGTTTCTAAAGTCGTTGGTCACAACAGAGTTAAATTTAAAAACTACCGGGAAAAGTGGATCAACAGTCTTAAAAACAGGAGGTAACTCGGTGCCAGAGTTTGCAGCGACCAATGAATAACCAAGCTTTCTTTTGATGGAAGTACTGCCACCTTTTGTTGAGTTACAGTGGTGCAAGTTCCTCTTTAACTTCTCTGCTCTGTTTTTCCTTCCTGCAGCTCAGGAGAACATCAGAGCTGAAACTGGGCAGGATGTGATTCTGCCGTGCCAAACTCCTGACAACAATCCTGTCATAGTCATCCAGTGGAGGAGAAATGATTCGGTATCAGAATACGTTCTTCTGTTCAGAGACGATCAGCTGGATCCAGACAACCAGCAGCCGACTTTTAGGAACCGAGTGGATCTGCTGTTCAGGCCGATAAAAGACAGAAACGCGTCTTTGGTCCTGAAGAACGTGACGGCTGACGATAAGGGAACCTACGAATGTTGAGTTATTGAGAGAGAACCGGGGAAAGAGAGCAGGTCTAACATCTGAACCAGTCAGCATCGTCAACCTGGACGTTGTTCCTCCTGGTGAGTCCGTCAGCTGGTTTGTCTTCCTGTGACACCAAAGATCCTGCTGCTGTTTCCTGGAAGCAGATAAAGTGTGGCTGCAGGCTGCAGGCGAAATGCTTTTGGTTTTGTTCTTCATCCGTTTCCAGTCTAACGGCTGATCCATGTTTCTGATCTGCAGGCCAAAAAGACGACCAAGAAGAAAACCATGTCAGCTATCGAAGACGTGATGCTCTGATCGGCGTGGCTGTCCTTTTCGCTGCTGCAGCTTCTGCTGCAGCTGGAGGAAAATTAAAATGGAGCTATCTGCAGAGGAACATCAGATGAAAGAGCTTCCCTGATCAAATTTCACTTCTCTGTAATTTTAGGCAGCGAAATAAAATGTTTTAAAAATGTTGACTATCAAATGAGCATTTTTATGGCAATTTGTCTCCATAATTAAAAAAAAAAAACATGCAGTGAAGTAAAGAAATTGTGACACTTGAATCAGCTTTTGGTCACAATTAAACAAGAACAAGAAACAGTAAAATCATGACATAACCTGGTAAAATAAAAGTGTTTTCAGTTGGTTTAAAAACTTCCACAGAGTCAGCAAAACTAAACTGACTCATATTAATCCTTTACTTTTTCTATTTTTCTGGGTTTTTATCAGCTAAAAGCTTTAATCGTTTCCCTTTTTGAATTTAACTCCAACTTTTCTTTGATAGTCTTAACTCAGTGAAATGCACATGGTTGTTCCTGTGAGGCAGCGTTCAGGGAAAAACAACATCCTGCCTCATTCCCGTTGGCTGCTCTTGATGATGTCATCAATGTGCGCCCCGTTCCTTCATTCTGTCGTGTTTTCCGTGAGGCATTAATCTGTTAGAAGCTTTTGTTCCACCTGCAGCGTGCTGTTAACCCGCTGGTCGTGTTTTCTGTGGTCACACCGGGAAGTGTTAGCTGAACCTGGGCATGGAGGCCGCGGAGGAGAAGACGGGCTCCATCTCTGCGGCTCAGCTCCGGGCGGAGAAACGGAGAAGGAAACTGCTGCTCAACTCGGAGGACAGAATGAACAGAATCGTTGGATTCGCTAAAAACGAGCCGGATCACAGCGGTAGGCAGTCACAGAAAACCTGGAGACTGCAGGCTGAAACCTCCGGCGGATTATTTAGGTTTATCATTTTTAAAACGTTTTGGACGCCGGCCAAAACATCGTATCTGAACTGTCCACACCTGAATTCATAGAAAGAAGGAAAACGTTTTTAAAACTAAACAGATTCTACAAGTGAAAAGCCAGTAGATTTATCTCTAAGAAACGAGTTACTCAAACACGGATCATATAACAGGGCCGGATTGAAGAGGATTAGGGCCCTTGGGCTACAGATGGTTTTGGTGCCCTATCTAAAACAAAAGAAACATTTTACTCATGCTCTTTACAGTAATGGGCAGAAATATACATCAGCAGGTGGCGATAGCTCCAAGTTAGTGCAGCACTATTCAATCATAAATAAGCACTTTAATGCCTAAAGGTCAATAACATACATCCTTTAGTTAACGTTTGATCATCTGCAGCTAAAACATCCTTCTGACATCAACATGAGAACAACTCAGGCCTTCCTGCTGGATTGCCGTCAGTACAGTGTAGAGATGATCTGGAGATTATTTTTATTAATAATTAAAAAGCAAAAGGTGCTGAACAGATAAAAAAAAACTGAATTTGAACCAGAGGAAACTAAAACTGTCCTAGTTGAGGAGTTCTGGACAGAACATGTTCTATCTTGCTGACCTTTTTTTAGAGCCTTTATACTCCAGTTAATGATTAGTGGATGATTATTTGAATAATCAATTCATCACATTTAATCCCATTAACTGTTTCAGCCTTAATTATTTTTCATCTTGTAAAATGTTGAGGGTTTTTTGCCATTAAAGGTGAAAAAAGTCAAATTGTCTCCAAACGTTTTGCTCTCTGCAGCAGCCGCCCTGCGTCCCGCCGAACCGCGCTTCCACCTGGATCTGGACAGGTCAGAGCCGTGGTCCTCGCCTTCGCCCAGGCCGCCTCCCTTCCTGTCGGAGGCGCCGGGCGTCCGCTCCCACACCGCCACGCCGGAGAGGCGGGGCTCCCCGCTGCCGGACTTCGGCCAGCCTCGCAGGGCGTCTCTGGAGGGCGACGTCGGAGGACTCCGCCACAGAGCGAAGGCGGAGCGGCCATCAGACGAGGCCGGCGGCTCGCCGCGCCCAGGCCTCCATCAGTACTTATCTCGCTTCGATGACGCCATGAAGCTTCGGAGCCAGCTGGCCAATGAGAAGCCGGAGCAGGACGGCGGTTCTGACGTAGAGGAGTTCGATCCGTTTCGGGTCTTCCGGCTGGTCGGCAGCGTCCTCCTCGCTGTTTTCGTCAGAGTTTTCGTCTGCAAGTATCTGGTGGGTCAGCCTGCTGCTAACATGAAGCTACAGGATCCAACTTATGTTTTTATCAAATCACAGGATTTTTAATACGATGGAGGATTAGGGCCATTCTAATAAAAAGATAAAAAATTAAAACACAAGAAGAAAGTCATAATATTACAGGAATAAAGTTATAATATTACAAGAATATAGTCGGAGTAATATGAGAATAAAGTCATAATATTGTCATGAATTCACTTTTTGCATTTTCTAATGCTGTGTTGTATATTGAAGATGCACAGAAAAGCTGGTTTAAAATCTTCTCCTTTTTTCTCTCTTCCAGTCAATATTTGCTCCATTTCTGACTCTTGAACTTGCCTACATGGGATTGTCAAAATACTTCCCAAAGGTAAAGTTACTCTTCTATATTTTCTTTTAACTAAATGTAAATAATAAATAATTGAACCTCCTGGTAGGTTATTTAGTTTTATCAGCACTCCACTGTGGAATATCATAAATTAAACAATTTCCAAATTTTTATGACAAATTTAAGTAAAACTTAATATTTTCTATGAGAAAATGAGGAAAATAAAAAAATCTGTTATCTGGTTGTAAAAATGCTTTATTGAATTCAATTTTGTTTATTCAAAACCACTCCAATTTATTTCAAATTAATCTGAAAATACACAACAAATCAAAATTACACCAACATATTTGAATCATTCAGACAGATTTAAACCTTTTTAGTCAGTTTTAGCGTTCAGTCCTCTAACTTTAGTTTTGTTTGAATGACTATTTAAACATATTTTCCAGTTTTTGATCACCTGCAGGATATTTTTTCTGCTCCTTCAGGTGGAGAAGAAAACCAAAACCACGGTTCTGACAGCCGCCCTGCTGCTGTCCGGCATCCCGGCCGAAGTCATCAGCCGCTCCATGGACACCTACCGCAGGATGGGCGACGTCTTCTCCGACCTCTGCGTCTACTTCTTCACCTTCATCATCTCCCACGAGATCCTGACGCTCTTCGGCTCAGAGACGCCCTGACAGAACAAAACCACACCTTCTTCTTCTTCTTCTTCTTCTTCTTCTTCTTCTTCTTCCCCCTCCTCATACCGATGAGGCTTACTCGTTTGCGCCCCCTGTTGTTTACATTCTGCTGCCTTATGTTGAGGGCTGCACCCCCTGGATGGGCTCTTCAGCTCTAATTGGAGTCCAGTGTCTAAACCTGCATGTTGATTTTACTGCTTACAGAAACTCTGGAAGAGGTTTCATGTTTTGACTTTGTTTGCATACCAGGTCCATGCTCTACAGAACACTGTAAAAAACAGAATCTGACCAAGTATTTTTCATCTAGTTTCCAGTACAAACATTTGAACCATTTGAATTTATACAAAACTAACTTACAAGTAAGTTTTCAGAAGCTTGTTTCGAGTAAATAATTCCTTAATTTCGATGAAAACGTTCCAGTTACACTGGCAGATTATTTAACTTAAAACTACATTTTCCGTTAAGAGCAATTAAGCATTTTGACATAATATGGAGCCATTATGAAGAGATGCTGCACTGCAAAAACACTAAATCTTACCAAGTAGTTTTAGTGCAAATGTCTCAAGTGTCCTTGAAATAAGACAAAACTAGCAATAAACTGCAACTTGTTTTAGATTAATAATTCCTAAATATTGATTTTTAAAAAAAAAGGTATTTCCACTGGCAAATTATTTCACTTATGACATTAAAAAATTTCTTGTTATAAGAGAAACAATCTGCCAGTGGAACTAGAACTGGGTTGGTAGGTAACAGGCTGTGGTTGCTAGGTAACGGTGGAGTTGTGTTTATGAAACAATCTACCAGTTGGGTTGCTAGGTAACAGGCTGGAGTCAGTTGGGGTTGCTAGGTTACGGTGGAGTTCTCTTTATGAAACAATCTGCCAGTGGAACTAGAACTTTTCATCGATATTTAGGAATTATTAACTTAAACTCTTATATCTGCTGAAATGTTACTTGTAAGCTAGTGTTGTCTCAGTTTAACCTAATATGATATTTGCACCAGAAACTAGAGAAAAATACTTGGTAAGATTTTGTGTTTTTACAGTGACAGAGTTTAATCAGCTCATTAATCCCAATAAAGGATTAAAATCATAACAGAAAGAATGGGTGATATGGTCAGGGAATTTTCTACTGTTACATTAAAGGGGAAATATGACAATTTTATTAATTAATAATCTCCATAATTTGTTGATACTCATGATGCTCATTAGAAATTAGCGGGGCGGCCATTTTGCTTGGATATGAGGAGAAATGTGTCATTATTTTTAATCCGTTAGTTGAGGAATAAATAAACTGAAATACTTTAAACTGTCTTCATGTTTAGCGTAACGTTAGTAAAGAATGTGGAAGAAATGAAGGAGTTTAGATCTGATTCTATGATCTTCAGGTATTGTTTACAGTAGGATTAAAACCAGATGAAGTTTTATGTTTGGGTCGTTTTCGCTCCATCCTTCAGTTTAAAGCCATTTGAAAGCAGTCGGCTCGTTGCTGCCGTCTGTTCAATCGGTGGTGAATGTAAAATACGTGTCAGCATTATGAACAAGGTTTTCTGTTTTTCCTCTGAGTCTGATGAAGCATTTAGCTGTGGAACATATAAAAACATAGTGTTGCATTATGTGTTTGTGAGCATAAAGTTCCATGTTTGTGTGAACCAGTGGGTTTTGTGAGCTTCCTTCAAGCCTTTTGTACAGTATTTTCTCTGCTGTCCTTGCTCCTATTTAATCCTAAATTAATTTATTAATGCTGTTTTACATGTAAATGAATTGGTGTGATTTATTCTACAACTTATCTGCTCTGTTTCATATTTTTTGATAAATTTACTTAGACAGTCTTAATGGCTGTTGTTTCGCTGAGGTTGTATAAAAGCGATGTTTCAAACTGAACAGCTCATACCAAATAAACGGCCCCTTGTCTGACTTATTCTGTACGTTTCTGTTATTTGTCTAATTTGGAGGATAAACTCTGAGATTAACGAGGCTCTAGCAACACTTTCTAAATTTATTCTTCATCTTACAGTTTAACCTGAAAATAAGATTTACAGGATTTTCTCTTAACTGCTGCTTGAGTTTTCACTTCAAGTAAAAATAATTTATCAGATTAAAGGAACATTTTGAAAATAACCTTTAAGCAGGACTTAACATTAATTTCTACATTGGTGTTTGTACTAGTTTCATGTGATAGTCTAGGCTTAGATATTGTGTTTTCAATAAAGGCTTGAAAACAGTCTGAGTGTAATTCACTTTGTGAATTGAGTTACTGAAGTAAATTAGCTGTTCAACAATATTCTATTGATGAGCAGATATCTATTGAGGTACATCTTAAATATGTGAATATTGTGAAAAAGTTAATTTTCTTTGTATATTACATATTTGGTGAAATATTTTAAGCCACTTTCTTGTAATTTTTATGATTATGGCTTTCAGATAATGAAAAACCAAATATCTGCATCAGAAAATTAGAATATTTCAATAAAGTTCAATATTGGAAATTCATGATGTCATTTGTTTATAACTGCCTTATATTCATAATAACTAACCACTTTTCATCACTTTTCTTTATTATACCACTTCAGTGTAATGTTTCCTGGTTATTTCATATTTTCCTCATAAAACACTTTGAACTGCCTTATTGCTGTAACATGCAGTACAAATAAACTTGCCTTGTGTTACATTTAGGCTACAAATGTTGAATCCTTGTGTAAATACAGAAAAATATGGGGTTTTCATTATTTGTAAATTATTATAATTAAAATGGAAAGAAACAAAGGCC